GCAATCAACTTTTTTGAAATTTCACAATTTGAAATTGAAAAAATTTTGTTCTTTGCGATAAATTTATTTGATCAATCAATCCTTTACTAGAATTTGAATTCGAAGAAATGGATGCTCATTTAAGAGTTCAGTTGTATCTGTTCGATTGATATTATCGTTCTCCGTAGCGATGGCATCAAACTTGTCTTTCTTTTCTCATCATTGCACTCATAATAACAGTTGCTAGTTGCATTTACGTATTCACTTGAGGACACATTTTTAGAGTGAAACGTTGAGGAATTTATTATATGTTTACGGAATAAAAGAATTTGATTGCGTTGCTACGATGACGAAAACCTTAGATCATAATTGCATCACGTTATCATTGTTGATGACCTTTAGTTATTATCAAACCTAAATGTGGCACTTTACCGATAACAACTGATCAATAAGATGATGCAAACCAACAGTTCAGTGCGTTGAATATTCGGGTATTCATCATCCACTTTGAAGCATTTCGTTGGACGACGACTGATCGTAATCGATACCGAATTGCGCGTTCGAACATGCGGCAACGAGAATAAACGACGACCGAACACAACACCACATACCTTGAGTGCATTCACCGTTATTCCTCGATAACAGACCTCTCTCGAACTTAATCTTCCCGTAAAAAATACAGCTCTCTTTGGCGATTGGCCGTTTCGGAAGAACAAATTTATTGATATTTGATTCATTTACATGACATTCAGGCAAATTACTTCGTTTATTTGCATGAATATGGGAGATTTGATTAGTGGTTGATAACCGCAGATGAATTGAAACACTTTTGCAGGATGTTCTCATCATTATGGACAGTTGAAGTTGCTTGATAGGAATAAATTCCTTTAATCATGCAAAAAAAGTACCTGTGAAACAAAGTATGCATAATTGTCACTGGTGTGAATCTTGAATGCTATCGCGTGTTCACCGTGATTAATCAACATGATAGTGTGAGACTGAGGTGGACGATCAATCTGGTTTATGAATTGTCATTTGAGAGTTGTTAAAAGTTGAGTTGCGATGTTTCAGGTACCAACGACAGACTTAGTAATTTGCTTAATATTACCTGACTGCGTGAATTATTATAAGGACATCACTGGAGGGATGGTGTTTTCGATATGGAATATAAATTTCAGTTCACCTGTTTTCCGAAAATCAACCAATTTTTATCGATTGACGCCGTGATTCTAGGCTCAATTAATTCAACATCTGCATTTTCATTCGTCCAAATGAAGTGATCATTACTCATATATGCTACGCTTTCCATCTCTTTCACAGCACTCAAAATTTAACATTTGTAAATGTTTTCGATCAGGGTGACTTAAGCTAAATGAACCATCATCCAAAAAAAGAGACAATTCAACAGTCGAAAGTTTGACACAAATCATCATGACGACGAATTGCCCAGCTGAGGAATGCATTTGAAATTCCATTAAAGGAACGACAGAAACGGAACGGATGCGATATCAAAGAACATAGTTTTTTGTTCACTATTAATCATCGCACGTTTCATTTTTTCATCGTGAACTCATCCAGATGAATGCAATAAATCCAGTCTACGAAACGTCTACGAAAATCAGACCAAACGACGAAACTTCTCGAAGCCAAACCACCAGACCAACACTTATGGTGCGAAACACTAAAATTCGGAGGTTTTCACTGATTGATCGTGAGGAATANAAATTTGAATAACCACTAAAAACATTTATTACGTTGAATTTGAATATGTTAAGGATGAAGTTGATCGAAGTGAATACAAAAAGCGAAATGAGACAATACAATTGACAACAACATGTTTGAGTTGTTTCATTTGGACGGAACGTTAATCTGGTCAATATAATTATGAACAGCAGTCATAATTATAATAAATAATGAACAAAACAAGTAAATTGATATCAATACCATGTACG